GTTACTGGCCACATCAGCAAGAAAATTCTGGGAGTTGTAATCCAAATTAGGGATGGGCACAAAAAAAAATGAATCACCAAATTCATTCAAAAATCACTAATTTGTCAATTCTTATTTGTACAAATCAGTACTTTGAACAAATACAATCAATTATTTTTAGTGATTTTTGATTTCTTGATTCATTCATTGGAAAATGGCCCCAAGGCACCTAGAGACACTAGAAGGAAGCTTCCGCTGACACTTCTCTACAATCTCTCCATGTCTGGTGAAGATAGGTTTCAGATGTCTGAGTTATATACTCACAAAGAGGACCCTCCAGAAAAGTTCCCTCCAGGAACCTAGAGACACCAAAATCTCAGAGATGCTTCCCATGACTCTCTTCTACAATCCATCCAAGTTTGGTGAAGACTGGGTTTCCTCAAGCTAGCTGCTAAACGGCAATTTCACTTTGTGGGTGTATAACTTGGATGTCTGAAGTCTAATCTGCACCAAACTTGGAGGGATTGTAGAGAAGACTCAGTAGAAGCTTCTCTGTGATTTTGGTGTTTTTAGGTGCCTGAGCGGAACTTTCCTGGGGGGGTTCCTCCTTGTGGGTTGATAACTTCGACATCTGGATCCCAAACTTCACCAAACGTGCAGGCACTATAGAGGAGAGTCGGGGGAATCATCCTTGCAAATTTGGTGGCTCTAGGTGCTTGGTGGGCATTTTATAGGATTTTAAAGTAAAAAATAAATTGACAAATTGATTCATCAGAAAAAATTATAAATTCATAATTTCTGATTCATTGACCTTGACAAATCACAAATCAAAATGAATCACAATTTTTCTGATTTGTGTTCATCTCTAGTCCAAACAGTACCTCCTCCAAGCTCTGCTGCACCTGTGTGTGTGTGTTTTAGTGCATCAGAGGCAAACAATGAAATGCATTCTTATGCATTGCAAGCAATGAAACCCATTAATCATTTGCAAAACAGGCTTCAGCTCACAGATTTTTCTGTTACACTGTGGGGGTGTCTCTTTACCTGCTAGTGTGCCCAGCAGGCAACTAATTATGCTGTGCTGTCTCACAGAAAGATGCTCTCCATCACATGTCCTGCTCCTTCAGCTTGCCAGGATTTGGGGGGGATGCTAGGCAAGGAGCTGGCTGTAAGTTAATTAAAGGGTATTCTCCTTTGTTGGAGATTTTAAAGCCTACAGCAAACAAATGCAATGATTTTTTTTATCCAGACGGATAACCTTCTGTGAACTGAGTCATAGTAAAGAACAAACAGCAACTGGCTTGTTGGTTTGGTAAAATTATAATACTTGGGGTGGAGGATGAGAAGCTGAGAAATCCGCTTGAAGGCTGATGAGGACCTGCAAAAAGGGGCCTGCATCTTACCCTCCCCTGCTATTATCCATCTTTCTGTAGAAAGGCAGAGCATACTAAAAACAAACAAACAAGGAAAAGAATAAAATGGTACAATTTCAAAACCAGCAAACCATAATCAGGTGATTTAAAAATGCAAAAGAAAAAACAAAACAAAACCTAGTACCAATGCACCATAATTTAGCAACTTTTATCATCTGGCCCCTTCCTTACAGTCCTTCCACTGGCAAGTGGAAAACCTTCATTCTTTAAACTGGCTTTTAATCTGAAAGTGCCCTGGATGCAACACACTTGTTATAATGTTGTTTTTAATCTGTTTTAAATTAGTGTGGTTTTTTAAAAAAAAGTTATTTAGGTTTAATTGTATTTTGAGATTAATATATTTATCTATTGAAGTTTTAAGCATATGTGTTTTTTTATGGTTGTTCACTGCCTTGAATTTTTTTCACTGGGGTAAAGAGAGGATATAAATAAAATGAATAAATACATAAATAAATACAGAAAGTTTCTAGCCCCTGGGCTCTAAGACATTTTGCTTCCTGATGTAACTGGCAAAATGGGGCCCCTTCCCTCATTTCACATGAAGATGATGATAAAAAGAACTGCCAAAGGAGTCTCACTTTAGGACTGCCAGCAGGAGAGCATCACCCACAACACCTGAGGGCAATAGGTCAGCTTGGCGGGTGGTATATGGAAGGCTCGCCAAATGGCACGCATGGCTGTGTCGTTTCACAAAGAAGAACAGCCAGGAGACTCCAGGAGAAGATCTAGGGAAGCCAACATGGCAACGTGCATGAGGAGTTCCCACAGGCAGTCAAAACAGTACTGTATTGTTCTTAAAGGTCCTTGATTTCTAAGACTGGTTTTAGAACTAGCTTTTAGAAAATATTCAAAAATCCAGTTTTAAATAAACTTTTGATCTTTTAGGAAAAGTTTTTAATCTTTTTTTTGTTTTGTAATTTTAGTCTGTCTATTGTACATTTCTTTGGAAGCCCTGTTGGGCAATAAAACAATAAACAGATATGTATTCTTGAAGGCTTTGATGGTCAGGATCCAATGGTTGTTGTAGGTTTTTCAGGCTCTTTGGCCGTGTTCTGGAGGTTGTTCTTCCTAACGTTTCGCCAGTCTCTTTGGCTGGCATCTTCAGAGGACAGGAGTCAGAACTCTGTCTGTGTTCTGGTGTAGTGTGTGGGACAGTGTAGGAACTAGTGTGGGAACTATACTTTAAAGATATAAATGGCTCAGGTCTTCTGTGCTGTTCCAATATATGTTTACAGTTTCCTGAGGCCATCATTTACCTTTTTTTCCTTCCCAGTTTAGTTAACAAATGGCATCAGTGTGCCAACATATTCAGCCGTTTGGACTTTTATTTCAAGGAGTTCAATTCTGTTCTTGCTTTTGGAAGTGACAGTGATGTTTTTGGATACATTTTTCTCCTCCAGCTGTGTCCCTCAGAGAGCTAATTATTATACAGAAAGAGACAGAGACTGTTTTTGTCTATTTCTTAAATGTTACAAATAATCTCTGAAATAGGACTGTATAGGAGAGAACACCCCAAGATATTTTGCTGTCTAATGCAATGGACAAATTGGAAGCTGCCCCATTCTTTGTCCAAACGCTGACTGAGAATGGCAGGAGAATCTTAAACAGCAGAAATGGGATACTGTTGACAGCCGTGCAGGAGTCCAGGAGAGTGGTTTAGAGGTAAACTAGAATCCCCCCAAGAGATTGTGGGCTTCTGAGACAGGGTGCCGTCTTTCTCCAAGAGGGGGGAAAGAAGCAGGCTACCAGTGGTTGGGGGGGTGTCTACCATTACTACTTCCTGTTATCAGCCACCCAAAGTAGTTGTCTCACTCTGCCCAATGACAGGGCCAGCCAATCCTGTTTGGTTCAAGAGGCAACCCAATGGCACTTAAAAGGTAAAGGCTATCTCCTGTGCTGATGTACGGTAATTCTCCAGTACTGTACTGATTCCAGCCTACCACTCACCACCCATGACCAATGGCCTAGTCCTCGACGAAGCATAGACAGAATCAGTCTCCCACTCTTCTTGACTTCTCATTTCAATTCTCCACCTCTCCTCACCCCATGTAGCACCAAGTCTTGGCAACATGGTCTCGATCCTCCAGTGCTGCCCTTTCCTGACCCGGGACCCTACCAACATCTTGCGTAAATTTCACCCCTTACTGGTCAGCAGTGTCCAGCGATGCCCTGTGATGGTGGCCCGCACCTTCTCCCTTTCTGTTGCTGACCTACAGCGTGAGAAGGAGACAGGTGGAGACATAGGACAGCAGGTGGATGGAGGTAAGAGACCTCTGGATAGCATGAGGATGAAGTGTCAAGGTACCATAGATTGCACGCTTTCAACACGTGAAATTGGGGAGGGGGGGCCATTCGGTGCTTTGCCTTAAGTATTAAGATCA